GGGTGTAGGATCCCAGAGGCTGTCCCCACATCTCCCCTGATGGCCCTGCTGAGGTAACCCTCCAGTTGGGAACCAAGTGTGCACGGCTTGGTGAGTGCTGGGGGTCTGTGCTGGCTGCTCACCCGCTGTCCCCAGCCCTGTGATGGCCCCAAGGTCACAGAATCCCAGACTGGTTTGGGTGGGAAGGGACCTTTCAAGGTCATCCAGTCCTTGAAAGTCCTGCCTGCACTGAGCAGGGACATCTGCAACTAGAGCAGGGTGCTCAGAGCCCCTGGGATGGTTCCAGGGATGGTGCCACCACCTCTCTGGGCAGCCTGGGCCAGGGGCTCCTCACCCTCAGTGTCAAACATTTCTCTCTCTCTAATCAAAATCTCTATCTTTTAGTTTAAAACTGTTACCCCTTGTCCTGTCCCAACAGGCCCTGCTAAAAATGATGCTTGTGGGGAATGGGCTTTGCACATTTAGCCTAATTCATGGGCACATTTGGTCCCTCAAGAAGAGTAACAGAAGCAAAGGCCAGGAGGGCTTTAGGCACAACCCACCACCAGTCACCCCCCTAGGTGTGTAAACTGGGAAGCTGGAGAGGGGCAGCCCAGGGTACAGGATGGAGACCCCCACACCAATTGCTGGTGGCTCAGCACGACGGAGCTGAGGGGCTGCAGCATCTCTGTGCCAGGACAGGCTGAGAGCCCTGGGGCTGTTCAGCTGGAGAAGCCTCAGAGGGGATCTGATCAGTGCTGAGCAAGAGCTAAAGGGCCCCCGGGGGGCAAGAGGCTGGGGCCAGACTCTGTCAGTGGTGCCCAGCGACAGGACAAGGGGCAACGGGCACCAACTGGAACCCAGGAGGTGCCACCTGAGCAGGAGGAGAAACTTCTTTGGGGTGAGGGTGGCCGAGCCTGGAGCAGCTGCCCAGAGAGGCTGTGGAGTCTCCTGCTCTGGAGAGATCCCAAACCCTCCTGGCTGTGACCCTGGGCACCCTGCTGTGGGGGAGCTGCTGGAGCAGGGGCTTGGAGGAGATGATCTCCAGAGGGCCCTCCCCACCCCACCACACTGGGATTCTGTGATGTTCTCCTGGGGACAACGTGCCCTCCAAGGGCTGGTGCCTGCAGAGACCTCTGTGTGGGGGACACAGCCCAGCTCTGCCCTGGGCTTGCCAAAGCCTTCAGACCCCCCAGGTGGGCTCGGGGTGAGAGGTTGGGAGACCTACATTACAGGAGGCCTCTGCAGGCTGCCTGGTGGGGACTCCTGCTCCATCCCAGCTCCCTGGAGATGAAGGTGTTGGTGGGATTGTCCCTCCCCACTGCTCACCCTGCCACCTTCCTGCCAGGCCTTTCTGGGCCATCCAGGCTGGGGCACAGAGGCTCAACCTGGCTGCAGACCTCTCAGACCAACCGTGGGGGCTCAGCAGGGTGTGGGTCCTTCCCCTCCCTCCAGCAGGAGAGAGCCAAGCCTCCATCAATGTGCTATTAATGTTCATTTTTATGATTAACATTGTTTTTCCCCTTATGGTGGAAATTTCATGTGCCTTGTCACTCCCACAATTCACTTCTCTCAGCATCTGGTGTCTTGCCAGACTCGGAAGAGAAAAAAAAATCCGCTGTCAGAATTCTGACTTGAAATCCCCATTGGGCAAACGGCCCCAAATCCTGAGCTTTTTACCAAAAATAGACTCAAAACCTTGCACAGAATCATCCTGCCTGCTTGGTGCTGCTGACCCGGGCAGCGAGGAGGGTCTGGGTGTCTCTGGGGTTGCACTGGGGGTGTCGTGAGGACCCTCCAGGGCGGCCAGAGGGGCATTGGCCCTTTGTGGCCTTCAAGTTTGGCTTCTGGCCACTGAAACGGGCACGGGGGCTGGTGCCACCCTGGCACATCCACCCCACCCGGGCTGAAACGGGCACGGGGGCTGGTGCCACCCTGGCACATCCACCCCGCCCGGGCTGGAA